AAGAGATATGTTGTTTTTTTTCTGAGACAAGTGCTTTTGACCATCCTCAAGAACTTGTGGTCATCCGATGTTCAGTACTTCAGTACTTTGATTATATTTTGTCATGTTTCATTGTTTTTGGTTCTTATCTATACTTTTAAATGAGAAGACCTCATTGTGTGTGTCGCTTCTCTTCCTTCCACAATAAATATCTATACTTTTAAATGAGAAGACCTCATTTTGTGTGTCGCTTCTCTTCCTTCCACAATAAATAAATCATCATGCCTCTGTGTCCTATAGGTACCATGCATAGTCGCATTTGTCATCCTCGCTTATGATTATTCCGTTTGGGTTATTTTGGGAGGAAAACGAAAATGAAGGCGTTCGGAGATAGTTACCGTCATGGGACGGACTTTTAACTCATAGACAAGTCTTTCGTTTAGAACTGTTTAAAATTACACATAATATTTTCATAGGTACTTGGGGACAGAACAATTATTTTCGTGTTTTCTGGATACTATGCACATACATAATTATACTATAAATTTAGTGTATTTACTATTTTCTATCAATTACAAGTTTACTATCCACGGCGGTCATTGATATATTAAATAGAGTCTTTATATAACTTGATATATCAGTGACCGCAATGGATAGTAAACTAGGAATTGATATTAGATAGCAAAAACACTTTATTTATAGTATATGTATGTTCATAGTATACAGAAAAACGCGAAATAATTGAAATCAATAGAAAACAAAAAATAACGGATTTGGGGAAAAAAGGGGGAGGGCTAAAAATAAATTGTCCTGCACCCCAAGTACCTATGAATTTTGATACCTTTCCTAAAATTATCCAGTCATAAAATCTTTTACAAAAATTTATCCTACAACAGTTTACATACTTTCAACCATGCTCTAAATGCCCGCGATTTCGCGGGTGTGTTCTAGTCGACTTTAATTTCATAGAAAGTCATTTTTGTTGTTTGTTGCTTGGGTCATGCATTGCATTCACTGGTTTATATATTTTTTTCATTTTTTATCGACTTTATCTTCATAGAAAGTCATTTTTATATCTTGCTTGTGGTGCAAAATGCACCAATCTGAAAAAGTATGACTTATAAGATTGAATCAAAGAAGTGTGCTTTTCAAGATTCAAATAAATAAGTATGACTTTCAAGATTTATTTTTATGAAAAGATCTTGTGCGTTGGAAATTGTACGTGTGTTGATAATTGTATTTATTTGATTTAGTTTTTTTTTGTTTCTGGATACTAGTATCTTTTTTTTTATTTAAGTTAGCACCTTTTATCGTAGTATATTGTTTTAAAAAATGTAAATTTTAAGTTGGTGTAAAGAAGGGTACTTGCAGCTCTTGAAAATGGTTGCAAGTTTGGCTGTGAGGGATGGACAAATTTTAAACAAAAATGTGTCCGTATGAGCCAGTTTCTCTGGACACACAAAACCATTGCATCTACTTCAATCAACTAAGGGTTATCCGTTGGGTTGGCTGTATAAATACACACACGTGCTTGGTTGCTAATACACAGATACACCATGACTTCTCGATAAACCTCGCCCTTCTCAGGTTTCTAAGCCTCTTACAAAAAAGTGGACAGATTTCTGACATTGACCTAATATTTAAGAATTGAATGCTTCTTTTTGTAATTTTAATAGGTTGTAAAAGCGTTGACCGAAACACGCATTACAAGGCAATACAAAATGAATCGGAAATATCTTCATTACTCCACTACTTATTGTAGTTGGTTCAACTACAATTATGAAGCAAGAAAAATAACTCCAATTTTAATAATATTAGTTTAGAGCTATTTTCCTAAAAATGTTAAGTATAATGTATACAAGCTGAAACCCCGCCTATCTATTGATTGCAGATGTCAATCTTGATTACAATACTTGAGCAAACATTTATATAAAACAAAGCAAGAAAGCCAACCAAACCTTTAAACTACAAACATAAGGATAATAGCTCTAATATGATCGATATCATTGATATGTTCAGAACAGATACAATATTCATGTACCATGCATATAGTTTTTGTTATTTTCTAGACAAGTATGGTTTTACACATACCTGTCATTTTGTAACTTGAATATCTGATAAATTTCATGAATATAATGTTTTAAGAATGTTGTGATCAGTGCACTATGTTTTATGTTCTTGTCTCAAAAGTTGTTATACAGTCTTGAAAAGTCATAACTATCAACTCAGCCCTATAAAGGTTTTAATTGTATGAATGCAAAATTTCCCCCTAAAAACCAAATAGTACGTACAATTATAGTTGTGTTTTGATTAATGTAACTAAAACTACAACATCGGACTCAAAACACTTATTTTTGTTGTATATAACAAATCAAGTTTCAGTCATGATTACAATAACAATAAGAAAAACATACACGGCAATGTGGATGAAACTTGCTACTATGGTGCTACTTAGTTGCTAGGATGTTACAGTCATCCGGTAAATAGTCAGTCACATGTGCATGGTTATCAATATCGAACATAACCAAACTCGATTGTTTGTCATAACTGTGCTATCGTTTCGAAATACGTTGAACAGTTAAGCAAACACGATACATATACAGGTTTTTTCATCAGATGCACTGTCGGTTCTGTCACAATTTACCCCTGTAGCGTCTTAACATTGGGAACAGAACAAACTAGAGCTCCAAAGAGACTGTGTCGCTCACCGAGGTCTATGTACATCTTCATCAATTCACATTCTCTAACATTGCAGACTAGAATATCATTCATGACTAAAATCTCTTTTTTGTTGTACTTGTGTTGCTGTTCTTTTTTTCCTGTTCACAGTTTTCTCTCTCTATATATATATATACTATTCTGAAAAAACCTTTGTTGATACAATGGTATACAGAAACACAGAGACATGGTATACAGAAACACAGAGACATGGTATACAGAAACACAGAGACATGGTATACAGAAACACAGAGACATGGTATACAGAAACACAGAGACATACAGTGGAGATCACTTCTAACCTCTCATCAAATCTGTCAGAATCTGTCAGGAGAACTGTTCTAGGACAGTATGTAGAACTGTCATCCTGACACCTTTCAGACAGTTCTAGCTAGAACAGTTTTAACCTAGAACTGATTTGGTCAGTTCTAACCTAGAACAGTTTTAGACAGTTCTACCTAGAACTGACCAAATATTTGGTCAGTTCTACGACTAGAACAGTTCTACGGCTAGAACAGTTCTACGACTAGAACAGTTCTACGATTAGAACTGATTTGGTCAGTTCTACGGCTAGAATTAATTTAGTCAGTTCTATCCATAGAACAGTTTTAAGAACTCTTTGTCTTAAATATAAATAAGTCAAAAGAATATAATATATATTAAAAAATTGCAGTGACGTCATTTAGAACTGTTCTACAATCCTGACAGGTTTGGTCAGTTCTACCGCTAGAACAGTTTTAGACAGTTCTGTTGACAGTTCTACGGTTAGAACTGATTTGGTCAGTTCTGCTGACAGTTCTACGACTAGAACTGATTTGGACAGTTCTACCTAGAACAGTTTTAGACAGTTCTATCCTAGAACTGATCCTGACAATTCTACCTAGAACTGATTTGGTCAGTTCTACCTAGAACTGATTCTGACAGTTCTACTTAGAACAGTTCTAGGGTGTTCTAGGTAGAACTGTTCTAGGACAGTTTAGAACAGTTCTAGGACAGTTTAGAACAGTTCTATGACAGATTATTCTGACAGTTCTAATGAGAGGTTAGAAGTGATCTCCACTGTACATAATATTAGAAGACATATGATACATGTGATGAGGTAGCAGCAGATTAAGTCTTCTTAGAGAAGAAAAAATGCATAGGTTTTAATGTTTACTTTTTATCAGAGAGAATTCTTTTTTTATTTATGATTCTAATGAACTTGCACAATTTTTCTATATTTTTTGCCCAAACACAAAAAAGGGTAAACATCGTCCTTTAACAATGTTTAAGATCAATAACTTCTATATGAACAAAACTCACAAAATAATCTGCGCCATGTATGCTGACCTAATTGCTGTGCTTGTTTTGTTGATCATTTTTCTGTATCTTAAAGTTTCTATACATCTATTATAGTTTTCATGATAATTGGCAAAAACGCAAAAATTGTCACAAAAGGGCTCAAACTCAATTTAAAGAGTTGACCTACCATTTTTTTTAGCAATATCAACTTATTACATCTGGCATTGTGGATCTTTTTGCTCTCTAATATTCTCTCTAATATAGATTAAAAAAAATAGGCAAAAACGAAAAAAAAAACCCGGTAAAATCGACTTTCAAGGGCAACAACTCCCATAAAGAGCCAACGGTCAATTTCGACACTTGACAATTGTAGAACTTTTCTCACTGATAATTTTTGCAATTTAAAGTTTCTATATGACTATATCTATCTAATATAGTTTTCAAGATAATCGACAAAAAACACAAAAGTCGTAAAAATCGTAATTAAAGGGCAATAACTCTTAAAAGAAGTCGTCTAACAGTTTGGACCTGAAAAGACAAAAGGTAGATCTCATCATTCTGAACATTTTTGCCGTTTCAGATTTTCTCTACCATTAGTAAATAATGGACAAAACTTGAATTTTACCCCTATTTTCTATTTAAGCCATGTCGGCCATGTTTGTTGGCATCGGACATATTTTTTTAAACTATATTCCCCAATGATGATTGCTGCAGAGTTTGGTTAAATTTGGCCCAGTAGTTTCAGATGAGATGATCTTTGTAAAAGTTTACGGACGACGACGGACGGACACTGGCTCTTTGGGCAACATAACCTTGCCCCAACTGATCTGATCTTCTCCATCATCTTTGGTTAACAGTTATAAACTGTTACTGTCATCAGCTTACCCCCACCCCAACACGTGATCATTGTCATTTATCCATTGTACTTTTCATTCATATAAACGATTAAGGAACAGAACCAATTATAACATATCGTATAAACTGATGCCGTTTCATGCCATACAATTAACTAACATATTATATAAACCACACTTCATATATATATTGAACAGATACAATTTTTTTCCCGGTAAGGTTATTAAAATATCATCGTACATTGTCTTAAATAAAAAGAAACTATATAAAATCAATATAAACAACGAATAATAAGAGTTCAATTAACGCATCTACCTGTATCTTTTTTGTATTGTGTAAGTCAATGAAGTAACATGTCTTCAGACCGTGATGAAAATAGTTTAAATTGCTCATTATTTAATGATTGTGCAAAAGGATTGTTTTGGAAAATTTGACAAAAAGAACTACAACAAGTAATTAATAATTAAGCTTATTGAAGTAGAGACCAAACATTGGTCTATTTTAAATTACACCAGCATATGATTACTAGTATATAACAAACAAGTAAAAAAAAAGTTTAGATTCAGCATTTCAAAGAACCCCATATATTCATTTTTTGTTGAAATTAAACAGTTTAATTTTGGACCCCCGATTAGGACCAACTTGAAAACTGGGCTCAAAATCAAAAATGTTTTTCAATAAGCAATATAAGTTTTAGTATTTAAAGGAGTTTGCTCCATAAAAAATATATATATAGCATTCAGAAGATTAGTTTATACAGAATAACAAACAAGCCTACCACAAAATTCTTCAAAACATTTACCAAAAAAAAAAAATTAATATTAATCTATAGAACTTATCTGTAATTAATTTTAAAATATATAATAATGAGCAGTAAATTTCAAACTATATTTACACTGTCCTACAGAGCTTATCATCAACAACACTTAGGAAACACAAAATTTTCAAATAAATCTGTCACTCCAATTATAATTTTGGTAGTTGATAATTACCAAATGTTTGTTATCTTGATAAAAGGTGGAAATTATTGTATGAATAAAACAGATACACTCATTGATAAACTATCTATCCATATACTTATTAAATACACCATTTCTGTTCAAAGGGAAATAACTCAAAATAAATAAATCATATAATAAGTATCACTTTTGCTACTGAAAGGTCTACAACTCAACAACGAGAACAGCTAAAATCGTAAAAATTGAACGTGACCTTCATTTAGTCACAGGAAACAACATATCTAATTTTGAAAAGATTTCGTCAAAGCGTTTTCATGTTACTGAACGGACACTGTTTGGCAGCCGCCCGCCCGCCCGCCCGCCCGCCCGCCGTACATCTCCAAATCAATAACCGATTTTTCCTTCGAAAATCCGTATAATAAAATGAAATACCAAGAAATAATCAGTGAACAAACAAAATGCATCACTGCTACCATGGCTGAGGCTATTACTGACCTCAATCAGGAAAAACGTGGTGACCAAGTACTAGTATTCTTATCCTCATTTTGTCGAGAAATGAAATTGATGAATATTTGCGAAATAAAATGGAAAGTACATGAAGAAATGTGTCAGGCAAGTCAGCTGCCTTCCGCCCAGGTAATCATTACATGGAGATTAGGGGGTAGTATTTCTGACGCATATAATTTGATTTTTCTGCTTAAATTAAAGGAACATGTACTTACATCATATTTGTTTCAGTTTTAGTTATCTATATTGATGTTTTACACATAATGTGTTTTATCTTTCCTGTAATTCTATAAAAAAAATGTAAACTGACTTAACCAATTTTGTTACATAAATGGCTTATTATAGTAATTGGTGATTTCGCAGATTTTAAGAAATTTGTGCATCCAGCATCGTCATTTCTTCAAAACTCATTTTGACACATTTTCTTGCATGCGAATCGATATGCGTAGTCAATCAAATGTTGCTTAAATTTTCGATTAAATGACGTAAAATAATTATTAACTCACTAATTCGTTTTTGTTGTATAAACCTCCCATGACTGTATTAGTAATAACATAATATAACAATATCTTGCATTACAGCAGGAGTTTCACTCTGAACCCCATTTGTGATGATGTCTATCGAAAACTAATGCATGGTCCTTATTTATGTCACATATTTAAATGAATATTTAAGATCAATTAAATCATTAAAACGGAAATTAATCTAGCACCATCAATTCTGAAGGAAACATTATTTGCATTAGAGGATATTGGATAAAAATAGTTTTTAGATTATTTTCGTGGCATTTTGACAGCATTCTGTACAAATGTGTGTCTATATTAAGAATTTTCATCAGCAAATAAAACAGTTAAATATTCTTTTTTATATTAAAATAAAAGTTCAGCCTGTCCATGTAAAATATATTCAAATCTCACAAAAATCTGCAACATTGCCGAATTAATGCTCCTGTACTTTAAATACGAATGTTGTAATGAAAATGTCAAATGCTTTTATTCATTTTTTTCCCCTCGAAGTATATACTATATAGATCTATACAAGCGTCATATTTTACCCCAAGTGTTAAATATTATAATGTTTCAGAAAGAAATAGATTTTTCTATACAATTAATATCAAAACATCAAAACCTTTCTCTGTGTCCCGTATAATACTGTCGAAATTCAATTACAATCCGTACCTTTTTGTAACACGCTGTATAATCTGAAAGATAAAATATATAGGCCAAGTATTATTAGAAAATTCCATTCAATTTCAGGTCCACCAACAAATGCTCGCATGTGTATGATCTCACAAAATGACTGTTTGTAGACATAAATGAAAATAATCAGTCATGACGACAAACGAAAACCGGTACATCAGAATGATGAACAACATAATCACTAACACTTCCCATTATTGTTCTCCTTATAGTACCAAGGCCTCTACAACCACATACAATTAAGTCAGCTTTCTTGTCATGCGCAACCCCAACAATGGCCTCTCCTGCTTCCCCATAGGCTTTCAATATTTCTGCTGGCATCTGAAAAAATGTACCAGTTCTGAGATGGACGAAATCAATGAATTTCTAAACAAAGAAGAAGGGGCCATAAGGCCCGTTTAGCCTAAAAGTTTAGAGTTAATTTTAAAGTAACCATAACTGATCTATTATAATTTGCCCTTACATACATAAGATAAAAGAAGTTCAGAAAATAAAAACCAATTTCACATTTGACCAGTTACTATATCAACGAACCATGACGAAATTAGTATATTTTGTAAAATGAATTGATTTTCCTTGTTTTGTATCAATTTATTTTAGTATTTTGGTCAAGTCAAAATAGCAACTTTCTATTTGGTGAGAATATGCAAATACATATAAGAAACCTTCTCTAAAATTATTTCGATCTTATTTTGCTGTGAACAATGCGAAAAACTGTTGTCAGCTAGCTTCTTATTTTAGTCCTTATTTGGTAAGTGCAGAGATTTTAGTGTCACCACACGTCTTAATTCCCCACCAAGACTTTAACCTCGGCATTGAGTGCCTTAGGCATCCTCCTGACCCTAGCCCTAGTTGAGTGCTTCCGGTTTGACCTATGGCTGGCTTCGTGTCTGGAATAACATTTATCATATGCCTGAAATTGCCTCTGGTATTACATATGCAACAAAAACAAAACTAGCCTGCACGAAAAATATGTCTATACAATAAATCTTAATCAAAAGACTTTACCAGTTATTTGCCGATGAATTTATACTTTTTTAATACTCCAACACTTCAAAATAGACTTCGTGTACATGTAGCAACACCAATGACATTGTAAGAAATATACGACTTCGTCTCTTGTCCATATTATATTTGTTTATACATTTACTCACCCCCATATCGATACATTTTTGTTTATATTGTACCATAACGTGTTCTGCCTTCTTTTCTTCACCTCTAAACTGTTGTGCTATAGCTTCTGGATTTCCAGGCATCATGGCAACCGCTAACAAGAGAAAGATTAATTATATAAAAGAAATAAAAACCCGTAAGAAAACTTTTCTTAAAACAACCATTTTAATTCTAAGCAACATAAAATTAAGAATGGAAACGGGGAATAGGTCAAAGAGATAACAACTCGACCAAAGAGCAGGAAAACAGCCCAAGGCCACCAATGGGTCTTCAACACAAACATATAAATGAACCAAAATTTTAAAAAAAACATACAAGACTAACAAAGGCCAGAGGTTCCTGACTTGGGACAGGTGCAAAAATGCGACGTGGTTAAACGTATTTTGAGAGATCTCAACCCTCCCCTATACCTCTAGCCTATGTAGAATAAACAAACACAAAGCAATACGCACAGTAAAACTCAGTTTAAAAGAAGTCCGAGTCCGATGTTAGAATAGGTAACAGAAGAAACAAAGCAAAATGACAATGATCAACATAAATTAACAAAGGACTACTAGCATTTACTGACATGTCAGCTCCAGACCTTAATTAAACTGATTGAAAGATTATGTCTTCATCATATGAAAATCAAGCACAATCCCTCCCGTTAGGGGTTTAGTATCATACCATCATAAAATATACGAGAAGAACATAACCCGTATCATGCCAACAACTGGTTTTAGAATAGATGTGTATATTTCCGATGCAAAGACCCTATGAGTGAATCAATATTAAATTCCAAAAAATGCCATCTTTAATAACCTGACAACAGTATCGTAAATATATCCCTTCTGAATAAGTCTGTGTAAAGGTTTGGTTAGCTTTTGAGGTGAATGACGACATTTTTGTGCTTTGTATAAAATATTACCATAAAAGATTGGATGTGAAATACATGAACGTATAAGATGTCTGCATGTTGATTTATATTTACGAATGATGTCCTTGTACCGATGATAAAATTTAGTAAATGTTTTGACTAGTTTGTGATATCGAAAACCCTGGTTTAATAATTTTTCAGTAATACAGAGATTTTTTTCGTTAAAATCAAATACGTTGTTACATACACGAGCGAATCGAACAAGTTGAGATATATAAACACCATAAGATAGTGACAGGGAACGTCACCATATAAAAATGGATAATTAACAATAGGAAATGAAAAATCATCTATTTTATCGTAAATTTTGGTAATAAGCTTCCCGTTAAAGATATAGATATCAAGATCCAGGAAAGGGTAGTGTACATTGTTAGTATTAGCTTTATTTAAAGTCAGTTCAGCAGGATAAATTTCTTTAGTGTACATACTGAAGTCGTCATTATTGAGAGCCAATATATCATCCAAATATCTAAAAGTGTTATTAAATTTTGTATCAGATGTTGTTTTCGATGGGTCTTTGCTGATTTTAGTCATAAATTGTAACTTCTTACAATACAGAAACAGGTCCGCAATAAGTGGTGCACAGTTAGTACCCATTGGAATTCCGATAACTTGACGATATACGGAATCTCCATAGCGAACAATAGTACCCATTGCAATTCCGATAACTTGACGATATACGGAATCTCCATAGCGAACAAACATGTTATCTAGTAAAAATTCAAGTGCGGTTATCGTATCAAAGCAGGTCCAATTGACATAGTTCTTTTGTTTGTTGTTACTAGAAAAATTACCTAAAAGAGTTTGAACATATATATGTAACACTCCCAAACGTGTCCTTCCCCCCAAACGTGTCCGATTCCCCCAAACGTGTCTATTCTCCCCAAACGTGTCCGTAATATTCAATATTCCCCAAACGTGTCCGATTTCATAACCCCCAAACGTGTCCGATAATTGTTATTCGCCAAAACGTGTCCATTATTACACGCCAGAACGTCTTACGTCTTTTACCGCTAATACGTGCATGTCCCAAATCAATAACGTTTACGGCAATTCTATGATGGGGGACAAAGTTGATGAAGAGGGCATTTATTAGCATTAGTTTGTTCAATGCCAGTTGTTAATGATTAGCATAAAAAAAATATTGCAAATTCAATCTGTAACATATGAATTGACTTTTGACTGAAATTGATTATTGTCCAGTTGCAAGTATTTCATGCTCATTTAGAGCGAACATACATATAATTCTTGTACTGTTGAATAAATCGTTTAATATGTAAATTATTTTGTACTAGTAAACTCCGTTGATGCATTTTATATTACTCCAAATATTGCACTTTTTTTCAGCAGAATTGACTTCCTTTCTTTCAACAGTTCTGATATTTTAAAAGCTCTTAAAATCATAAACTGGGAATCAGGTTTTTCAATAAATTTTAGGTTTCGAACATCATTAAAGACACACGAACAAGAGACATAACGTCCAGTGCCAAATATTTAATGCATTATTTGAAAGATATCATGTTAGCAATAAAATACATTTGTCATTTCGGGGCCTTTTATAGCTGAATATGCGGTAATGTTCTTTTATCATACCGGAAATTTAAAATAAAACCTAAATTATATCGGTTATTCGGGATAAACATTAGTTGGGATTTTAATTTAAAAAATTCAAGAGCGAGTAAAAACGATTTTTTATGACTTCAGTAAGAAACGCGCAGACAATGAGACATTCTCCCTTCACGAGGTGTCTGATTTATTATCTTTACGTATTTATGATATTGACACGAATGATAATTCCAGTAAAAAAATATGGAAACATTTGGGGGATTGGACACTTTTGGGTGGTTTTTTTTAAATGAACACGTTTGGGCATTTATACAAATGACAAGCTTTGGCGCTGTTTTACAACTAGATATGTTTTGCAGTTCAGTGACGTCGATGTTAGGTTGGTTCCCTCCGTAAAATATCCAGTATGCCTTCGGAATATACAAATATATCAAGAATTTCAATAACGGCCGGGTACCAGTCTACGTCGATGTAGACACGTTTGGGGGAATCGGACACGTTTGGGGGGAAGGACACGTTTCTGAGTGTTACATATATTTGCATTCTGGCTATTTAAATGCCCATTTGATTAGGTATGTGAATTTTTTCTTAATGAGATTATGAGGCAAAATGGTATATAGGGTAAAAAATCAAAACTTTGAACAAATTCGAAATCACCAATATGAGCATGCAATTTATTAAGTACTTCCAACGAATTTTTGACACTCAAAAAGTAGTTAATTCCACTATTTGAACATTTTATTAGCAGGTTTTTGATTGTACCAAGTGCACTAGTAAGTAGAATTGACAGTTTAGTTATGGAACAATGACTTGAAAACGAAATAAATCTATATTTGTAAGGTGTTTTGTGCAGCTTCGAAAGCCAGTTCATAGTTGGAACTTTCATGTTATTCGGTTCTGCTTGTAAAGAGGAAGCTAAAAGTTTATGTCTGTTAGAGATGAGATGTCATTTTCCGAAGATGGAGTCAGTTGGAAAGTTGGTGAATTCGTGATTTCCTTTTGCAGAACCTCAATGTAAAATTTACGTCAAACAATAATGATATTATTGGCAGCCTTATCAGCCGGGACAAAACAAAATTTCCTTGACGAGTTCTTTTACCTTATGTTTGATACGAGAAATATGGCTATTATGGTTGTTGTTACAAAACAGAATTAAAAAAGAATCTAAGGGTTTTTTTGTCAGTTTTTTTCTCGTTTTATCCATTTCGCACAGTAAGTACGGAGTGAGTCGTGGGTGATGTTACGACACTCATTCCAATTAATAATTGACGGGGGACGATATTTAGGTCCTTTACTAAGGAATGAAAAGTCAATTTCAAAATATTAACCATTTTAAATTTGAGCAAAGGTTTATTTCACAGCATCCATGCACTGGATCTTTCCTCGAAAGCTTCACTGTGAATAAAAAATATAAGATTTTTTTTGTGTCATGAATAAATTCATTATATCCTTTATTTTCCTTTCACGAAACATACAGGACATATTACATTTGTTTCTAATAGATGGCCTATGGAAAGACTTAGTAATCGAACTATCCAAGTACTACGGTATATAAAACACAAGAATGACATACTTATTATACGGGTCACATTTATGAGGGTATGGAGATTTTTAAAAGGCCGTTTTAGACGGAACTTGTGATACAGCGTAATCCGTCCGTCCGTATGTCAAAACCTCGTACGATAACGCAAATTATCTTTAACCAATTCTCATGAAATTTAATTAAAGCATTTGACGTAAGAAAGCTGCCTTTCAATTCCATTTTTCCATTCGTAGATGAATGGACGGCTGTTTAATGTTCAATGGTTAATTAAATCCATATTCAGGACGAGAACATGTTCATGCGATATGAATAAGAACTCTGCTTTGTACTATACCGACAATCTGAGCCTGATTTTAACGTTGTAGTACACAAGCTTAGGTAACAGTCCGAAGGAAGACATATCACCCTACCCGGACACATTATTCTGAATCCGAACTGACCAGTCTTTGCTCTTACTCCTTAATGCCGCTTGCTTTTACCTTTCTCAATGTACAACTCACTTTGCTATGATTTATTTTCCTGAAATGTTATTACATTGCTAGAATTGATCAAAATAAGCCCTCTCTTAGTTTTCATGATTTTCACTTTCGTCAATCAAGAGTAATGAGGATTTATTCATGAAATTTATTTTTTCACATATCGCACACTGAATTAAGTATGGATAATCATTTATTTCCTCAAATCTTAACAATGTTGTCGAGATTAATAAAAGGAAGCTCCCTTTAAAGTTTGAAATTTTTTACTGGTTTGTCATTCCAGAGTAACGCGACTTTATCTGTCAGATTTAGGGAAATTGTTCACATGCTGTACCATAACATGAGTTTACTTGGATCGATTTACTGGAAACTTTACACAATTGTTAGAACTGATGAAAGTCAGATATCTTTTGGTTTTGAATTTTTTTATATGTCATTCCAGAGTTATGTCGCTTGATCTTCAGTTAACGGCATTGTTTTAACATGTCACGCACGAGCTTCAGTATGCTTGGATCAATATTATTTCAAACTTAAAACTGTTGCTTGGATTGGTGAATGCAGACTTGCTTTTAATTTTGAAAAATTTTCTCGTT